CTCTCTTTCCATTTAGGAAACAGATTTGTTCCTCAAGTTTTGAAAGCAAGAGAACACTCTGCTTCGGTTTCAATACCTCTCAGGGTCACCAGCGCTGAAAATGTCCCTTTTCTTGGAGGTGGGCAGCACCAGGAGGAAGTGGCAGCCTCCCAGAAAACACCTGAGGCCCCTCCAAAGCCCCCCACATAGCTGAGAACAAGGGTCTGAGCTCCAAGAGGGCCTGGAGCAAGTGCAGTCATTGATTTGAACGCTCTTGCCCAGGCTCAGCTGCCAAGGGTCAACCAGCAGGGCCCAAGTTCTAACCAAACTCACAGCTGCAGACACCTGGCTGGGGTTTGTAAAGGAAAAACCCACATTTGCATTTAGCAGTTTTATTTGAAACTGGTGGACTCTCAGGCCCAGGAAAGGGCAGGAAGAGAGGCCAGTTTCGGAACTGAATGGCTGCAGACAGAGCAAGAAAGTAGCTTTGAGACCAGGAACTGAAAACAGACCTGGGTTCCTGCTGCTTGTGGCCTGGGACCTGGGGGACTCGCCACTGGCCCGAAGGGTTTGTTTGAAGTCTGTGCCTGGAGGGAAGGGACAGATGGACATTTCAATAGCTCCATGCAGGGTGCCACCAGCCCTTTCCCACAGATGCCCTTTGCTGATTTTACTTGCACCTGCGTTTAGCAGCAGAGTCGGGAGACAAGAGGCGATGCCTGGGGAGTATATGAAGCCTGTGAGCAGGATAGGAGCTGGAGCTCCCACACTAGGGGAAAACAAGAAGATGCGCTGTATCACACGTGACACATCAACACACCCCGTGGAGGTGGGAGCCATATCCCTCCTAACCTGAGCTGCTTGTCCCAAAGTCACCTTTCTCAGCAGCACTTCATGGTGAGTTACAGGAGATGCACTTGCCGAGGCTGACGTTTCTTCACCTCCTTTTTCGTGCTGTGGATTGAACGCACAGCTTTACCCACACACTTAGTTGCCTAAGTGTTCTACCACTGAGCTATATCTCCAGTTCTTTTATTTTTGTTTTGATTTTTGGGTTTTTGAGACAGGGTTTTCCTGTGTAGTCTAGGGTGGCTTTGAACTTGCTATGTGGCCTGGGCTGGACTGGAACTCACAATGGTCCTGCCTCAGCCTCCTGAGTAGCTGAGATTACAGGTGTGTGCCACCAGGCTGCACTTCTTTGTCCAGTCTGCTGCAGCAGATGTGTTTTGGGGTATATTCAGCCTGTGTCCTAGAAAGTACACAAGAGAGAGGCTGGGGATTTAGCTCAGTGGCACAGAGCCTGCCTGGCAAGCTCAAGGCCATGAGTTCGATTCCTGGTACCGGAAAAAAACAAAAACAAGACAAAACAAAAAAAGAAAGTACACAAGAGAGAGGGTGGACGCAAGGGCGAGGTGGTGAGGCTCTGAAGAACTGTGGGCTGAGGTGGTGCTGACTTCTGAGGTGCGTGGAGGTAGCCTTCCTTGCTGGCACAAAGCAATTCGAAGATACCAACAAATGACCAGTATTTCATTCGTAAAGTGGCATTCATTTGCATCGTGTGTTTTTAATCTTCTATAGCAAAGCATTCTTTTTTTTGTTTGTTTGGTTGTTTTCTGGTACCAGGAATCGAACTCACAACGTCACACTTGCCAGGCAGGCGCTGTGCCGCTGAGCTAAATCCCCAGCCCAAAGCATTCTTTCATTTCAAAATTTAAACTTCAACATTTGATTTGTTTGTTTGCTTTGTTTTCTTCTTCCGGTACCAGGAATTGAACTCACGACCTTGCGCTTGCCAGGCAGGTGCTGTGCCGCTGAGCTAAATCCCCAGCCCCTAAACTTCAACATTTGAAAAGTGAAAGCAGGAAACATGTTTTTCTGGATAAGATGACTGCATTCCTGAAAAAAGCACATTTGCAAAGGTGGAGAGAACAGGTGATCTGCTGAAGGCTAAAGGGCTTCTAATTTATGTATTTCTAGCTTTTGGAGTGCTGAGGACAAACCAGGCGCTTTACAGAAAGCTACCCCTACCCCCCTAAAGGGATGTTCCTTTCCCCTAAAGAGGTTTTTATTTTATTTATATATTTTTGGGGTTTGTTGTTTTTTGAGACAGAGTCACACTCTGTAGCCCAGGCTGGCCTCAAACTCGTGGTGATCCTGCTGCCTCAGCCTAAGGGGCTTTTTAAATGTTAAACGTATCTTAGGTTCATTACTAGTTACTACTCAGGGATGTCCTGCAAGGTAGATCAGCACACTTTATAAAGGTATCCTCAGCCAGGCCCAGTGGCACACGCCTGTAATCCCAGCACTTGGGAGGCTAAGGCAGGAGGATCGCTGCAAGTTTGAGGCCAGTTGGAGCTACACACTGAGTTCAAGGCCAGCATGAAGGGTGTACTGATCCCCTGTCTCAAAAAAAAAAGAAAAGAAAAAACAAAATAAATAAGTAAATACTCAACTGAGATTTACTTTTTTTTTTTTTACTTTTTGAGACAGGGTCTCACTATGCAGTTCAGGCTGGGCTTGAGCTCACTTTGTAGCCCAGGCTGGTCTTGAACTCGCTATGATCCTCCTGCCTCAGCCTCTTGAATGCTGGGATTACAGGTGTGCACCACCACACCTGGCTTCGAGATTTACCTTTTCTTATCACAAAAAGAGTATGTGTATTTCCAGGAAAGTGTTTATTTATATGAAAAAATGGATAGGAGGTAAATGCTACTACTTATGATATAGGGGAAAGAAACTCCTAACCTGAAAGATATCTGGGATGAGTTCATGTTCTCTAAAATCAAAGAATGAATTTTAGGAACAATGGAGGTTAAGAGCAGGATGTATTTATTGGGGGAAAGAAAGCTTCAGTCTGAGAGAGGGACAGAAGGGGGCCTGAGTGTGTTGCCCAGGGAACCTGTCTTTTCCAAGGATTTTTATAAAGTAAAACGATTCCCAGTACAAAAAAAGAAAAGGCATATAGCTCAGTATAGCTCAGTTAGTAGAGCATGTACATCCTTCTGTCTCAGCCTCCTGAGTGTTGACATTACAGGTGTGTGCCACCACACCTGACTCTAAACTTTTTTTTTCAACGGTGGGAATCAAACTGAGGGCCTTACATGTGTAAAGCAGGTGCTCAACCACTGAACTACACATCCAGCCTCTTTATTGCAAGGTCTAAAGTCATTGCCTAGTTTTCCTGTTCTTACACTTTGTAAATGAAATCATACAGCCCGGTGTGGTGGTGCATTCCTGTAATCCCAGCACTTGGGAGGCTGAGGCAGGAGGATCGCTGTGAGTTTGAGGCCTACCTGGGCTACAAAGTGAAACCTTGTCTCCAAAAAAAAAAAAAAACAAAACTGGGCATGGTGGCATATGCCTGTAATCCCAGTACTCAGGAGACTGAAGCAGAAGGATTGTTGTGAGTTTGAGACCAGCCTGGCCTACAAAGTGAGCTCAAGGCCAGCCTGAACTGGCCAGCCTGAACTGGCATAGCGAGACCCTGTCTCAAAAACACCAGAAAAAAAAAAAGAGAAGAAAAGAAATCACACAATACGTACATGATTTTTCTTCTCTAAAAATGACAGTGATGCTCACACATTTTATGTGTGATTCTGTACACACATACACCACATTAACTGCCCTCTAGAACAATATAAAGTGTCCCCACAGCTCCCCGCCCCCTTTCTAACCCACAGACCTCCACCCCAAATAAACATGTTCTGCTATCTCTCACTGTCACCTGATTCTGGACTTTGTACAAATAGTCATACAGTGTACTGAAACCCATTTTTTTGTCCTCATCGAAATATAGTAAGCATTTTTTCGCTGTACAGCTAGCCCATAATTTCCTTAATTGATTGTCTTTGATTGCTTCCAAGTTTTGGCTATTTTGAGAATTAAATATCCAAGACACATCAGGCTTCTGTTTTCCAAAGCAGTACATCTGCCAGGGGTAAAAATCCATGACACTGTCTGCTGGCTGACTCTTCGCGTATCATTATCACCCAGGCAAATGTCTGTTCCCACTGCCACTTCCACAACCGCCTGCTGGGCCGCGAGGGGACAGAGGACTACCACTCTTGGAGACAGTTGTTTTTCTTGTAGTCCCACAACACGGGTGGCTTCCTCTCCCCGCAACCTGGCAACCCGGAATACATTTCCTCTCCGGAGCTCCATCAACAGGCCCAATTGTTCTGAAGGAAAAGTCACCAGTCAAGGCTTTGAGTTCTAAGATAGGAACTCTTATGCATTCCTTGGATGACAAAGGATGTTCCTCATTGAAAACCAAGTAAACAAGGGCACTCCTCTATTCTGGGTAACAGGACAACAGCGAACCACTGAGCTGTTGGCTTGCAGTTAGTTCCAACTGTTGTGTTGTTTGTACAGAAAGAGCAGAATTAAAAAGCCCCGGGGACTCGGTGTATTCCAAAAAAAACTATTTGTGAGCCTAAGCAGTATAAGGAGTTGTGACATCACTTTCTAAAAGCAGGAGTATTATGAGATTAACATTTTATGCCTTTAAGTAGTGTAGCAGCTGACACCCTGTGAACTGTCATGGGCTGAGATCTGTCTGATGACTAGAAGTGGACAGACAGATGCTAAATCCTGGTGGACTCGCGTTTGTTTCAGAGCATGTGGAACGGTATATACTTTCAATGCTGGGCGTAAAGAAGACAAGCTGGGGCTGGGTGGGGGGCGCGGGTACAGTAGGAGAATGTGTGCCTAGCATGCACAAGGCCCTGAGTTTGATCCCAGCACCAAAAACCAAATAAATAAAATAAAAAATAAAAGGTACAGAAAATGAAGAGCAGATACACCTCTGAACAGTTAATTTCAGTTCATTTTCTTTCAGAGGAAAGCAATTACTATTGTAATTTTTTCTCGTTGCTGAGACAAAATACCCAACACCCAGAATTAAGGAAGGAAAGGTTTATTTAGCTCACAGTTTGTGGAGGTTTCAGTCCATACTCGGCTGGCTCCAAGGCAGGGTGGCACATGGGAGAGGGCAATTGTTCATGGCAGAGGAAAATAGCAAAAGCAACAAGAGCAAAAGGGGGAAATGGCAGCAGCAAGCAGCCTTTTCCCCTCCCTTACATTGTATGCAAACTACTGTCCCAGGGGCAGGTATAACACTCACTCCCATGATCCCAGTTTTGGACTATGGATCAATTAAAAATCTAGAAACCCACCCCATGACTGCATGGACTTTAGGGGGACATCCAGACACAAACCATAACAACTACCAAGCCATCAGAATTTTTTCTTGGAGAGTCTGTCATGGTGGGGCACACTTATAATCCCAGCACTCAGGAGGCTGAGGCAGGAGGGTCCTAGCAAGTTTGAGACCAGCCTGAACTGCATCATGAGACCCTGTCTACCTCTCCACCAAAAAGAATGTTTTGGGCTACAAAGGGAGCTCAAGACCAGCCTGTCTACCTCCCCACAAAAAAGAATGTTTACTTTGGATGACCACAGTTTTAGCAGGATTGAGATGAGTAGTCATTTTGGAATATGAAATGACATCTTACCCTCTGTTTCATGTCACTGACCCTTGAGGAGGAACAGAAAGTGGCCTCTGGCCCCTATAGTCCAGAGGAGACTACATTGTTAATAGTCCTGGCTCCTGTAATCAGGGCTTCCCACCTGCTGGAAGGGGTTTATGACTGCCTGGCTTAACACAGAAAGGCACAACATTAGGCAAAGCCAGTGGAAGAGCTCAGATGGTGCCAGCTCTTTATCACCAAAAGATTTTATTGAGCTGGGCATGTGGCATACATCTGTAATCCCTACACTCTGGGAGGCTGAGGCAGAAGGATCAAAAGTTCCAACCCAGTCTGGACACTTAATGACTCAGTGAGAATTTGTCTCAAAATAAAAAATATAAAGAGGGCTGGGAACATAGCTTAGTGTAGCTTAAAGACTCAGTAGTGCCCCCCACCAAAAAAAAAAAAAAATGTATTTAGTTTCCATTACACACTTACCCAGCAGGTGGAAAAGAACTGTTGAGTGGGGAAAATTGAGTCAGTGTTTGCACACGCATCTGGTGGTATACATGTTTGGTAGAGGTGGCCTCAAACATAAACGTCAACCCCCAATTGTTATGTTCGTGATTATGACATACAACCAGGAGACAAAGTCCCTTACCAAAGGCACGTTAGATGTTGCCAGCACTGTTGATACATTCCAAGGAGAGCTTGAAAATCAGCTGAGCCGTGAAATGCATTGTTAAATAAGCCTGGGTTGTTGTCAGCCGGGAAGCCAAGGTCGGCACCTTTGACCACCGGGTATCACCCGACTCCTGGGTAAAACGGCGGGGTTACTCCCACACCCTCTGCGTTTTCTGATCTGGACTACGGATGTCTTTCTTTCCTGCTCGTTTGTCTTTCCCAATCTCCTCTCCTTCCATGTTTTCATTAGCTGGAAAAACACAGATGGAAATATAGTCAGTTTATACTTAAAACAGTTTTATGTATTCTTTTTTCTTTTTTGGGGGGGCGTTTTTTTTCTGGTACCAGGAATTGAACTCACGACCTTGCGCTTGCCAGGCAGGTGCTGTGCCACTGAGCTAAATCCCCAGCCCCTTAAAACAGTTTTAATATCTGTCCATTTTTTGCTTCTTGAAAACCACATGACTGAAACATTTGTCATGTGACATGGCACTTGACATTGGTTATTTGCATGTATACTCTAACCACTGAGCTATGTCCCCAGCCCTTTTTCTCTTTCATTTTGAAATAGTCTTGCTAAATTGTCCAGGCTGGCCTCAAACTCACAATCTGGCTGCCTCAGCCTCCGGAACAGCTGGCATTAAAGGCGTGGAGACTCTTTTTACTCAGGTCTAGAGAGTGCCCCTGTGCCCCACCCAGCGTCCCCTAGCTCCTGTCCAGTGTCCCCATCTACAAAGCGGAGATAAGCAGGGCACGGGCCTCAGCAGTCTGCTCCGAGGATGAAATGAAAAGAAAGTAAAGCCTGAGACCAGAGTGGCCCTGGTTAAGTGGTGCTTAAGTGGAAGCTATTTTCTGCCGGTAGCTTTGTGCTCTCCCCTGCGGGTCCGTGGTGACTGGCTGAGTAAATGATTCTTCATCCTGCTGCAGAATCTGAAATTATTAAAACTCTTCATTGATCAGCTGTTTCCTCCAGCACAGAAGTGATTCCTGGGTGGTAAATTACACGCCTTGGGGGATAGGCGAACTCTTTCAGGTGACTCCCCACTGCTCCACGCATACAAGGCAGCCTGGTGGCCACAGGTAAGCACTCACAGGAAGGGGGACGAGGGAACAGAGGCAAGGGCACAGCAGGGAGTATAGAGAGCCCTTCCCAGTCCTCCTCACGGCCCAGGAAGTTTATATTTGTACTCCCATGAAGTTACTGGAATTCTAGCGAGTTAATTCCAATCTACCACTTCCAGTGCAACCCACGGTGAGAATAAATACACTAAGGCATATTTGTAGTTATGGGGAGCCAAGGGGTCCTAAGTCCAGCCATGACAGTGGTTATCTGGAGCAAAGGCCTGGACCCAGGACCAAACCCAGATTTTATTCATTTGTGAATAAGGAAGTGGCTTGATGATAAGTGACCGTGAGAGTGACGGGAAATATACCAGTGCCATGAGCAGGGGTCAGAGAAACACGCCTACCATCTCCAAAGATTACCACCAGCACCTCAGCTAGACAGATATGCACTGCTTAAAGCCAACTGAAGGGATAAGGAATGTCCCAGCCGGCTCAGTACATATCAGTACATGGAAATAGGGTCAGGCTCAGCCAAAATGGAGGCAACCTCCTCTCCTAGGTGGAGGAGACCCCAGGACTGCAGGCCCAAGCCAGGAACTTTCAACTTCCCCTTATGTGGAGGAAGGGAAGTAGAGGGTGAGTTCCTTGATTCATAACAAAACTAGATTTTTTTCCCCTAAAGGCTAGGGGTGTAGCTCAGTGGTAGAGTATGTACAAGGCTCTGGGTTCTAATCTCAGCACCAAAAAATAAAAAAAGGAAAAAGTAGATGAAGGATGAAAGCATATCCAGAATAAGGAATAAACAATCTTTCTTCCTTTCTTTTCTTTCTTTCTTTCTTTCTTTCTTTCTTTCTTTCTTTCTTTCTTTCTTTTCTTTCTTTCTTTAAATTCCCTTTATCTAAAAAAAAAAAAAAAAAAAAAAAAAACTGCAGATAAAAAAAAGCAAAAAAAAAAAAAAAAAAAAAAAAATTCCCTTTATCTGCCTAAAACCAGAATCTCCTAAGAGTCCAAGGGTCATAAATCCTTCTTTGGAGTGTTTTAGGAGTTTTATAGCCAGGAAGATTGACTGCTATCCCTTATCACCAGATTCCTCAGGATAAGAAATCACCGAAACAGACACTGTTACAAACAAAGCTTGCAAGTCAGAAGTCCCCTCTTCTGCTAAGGTGGAATACACAAGCCCTGCTTTTTTTTTTTTTTTTTTTTTTTTTTTTTTTGAGACAGGGTCTTGCTCTGCAGTTCAGGCTGGCCTTGAGCTCACTTTGGAGCCCAGGCTGGCCTCGAACTCGCAATGATCCTCCCTCCTCAGCCTCCTGGGTGCTGGGATTACAGGTGTGCACCACCACGCCCAGCTACCAGCCCCAAATTCTAAACACTTCCTTGAATCACATTTTTCTATGAATGCTTGTGTCATTGAATAAAAAACTTGGTCTCTTTTCTTGCTAATCTAATCTGTCTTTTGTCAGTGTAATTTGCAGGCCCTCAATGACTTAGAGGAAATGTTTTCCTGTCTGACAGAGAAGATAACATCCTTTTACTGTAACCTCACCCTCATTTCATCCTTTGGAATGTTCTGTAAAATGTGGGAGAATGGGAAGTATATAATAGAAAGAGGACAGTCGGCATAATTTATTCATTTATGGCGTGCTGGGGGTTTCACCAGGGCTTCCACATGCTCAGCAAACACTATAGCCCTGAGCTCCGCCCCCGGCCCATCATTATAACTTATTACAAGACTACTAGGTACCAAGCGGTTTGCAAACATGACTTTTCTAAACCCTTTGTTCTAGCTGGGGGATGGGTTCAGCCAGGGGCAGTGACTACCTAATACTGCAGGCTTTCTTTCACAAACTCTGTGTGCACACTTGGGCCTTGTGCTGGACACTAGGGACGCAGGGGTGAATAAGTGGTCAACACAGCCTGTAGTCTCCTTTCTAGGTAAGAGGAGACTGAAAAAAACAAAGCACACAGAAAAAGATGCCACCTGATGGTTAGCAGAGACTGGGTTTCCTGCTGTCAAATAAAAACTACAGGAGGCCACTGGTGTGTCCGAGCTCCTGTATTAGGCCCCATAGGACCAGACAACTGGACTCAGCATGCTAAAACTTCAGGTCACCACACCAAAACTGACCTTATCTGACCTTCAGAATAATGAAGAGAGGGAAGGGAGGAGAGGAGAGGAGGGGAGGAAGAGGGGGAGGATGGGAGGACAGGGATAGGGGGAGAGGAGGGGAGGGGAGGGGAAAGGAACAAAGGGAGTGCTGGGAAGAGGGGCAGGATTACCACACAAAATACCCTTTCTTTCTTTCTTTCTTTCTCTTTCTTTCTTTCTTTCTTTCTTTCTTTCTTTGGTCTTTTTGAAACAGGGTCTCGCTATGCAGTTCAGGCTGGCCTTGAGCTCACTTTGTAGCCCAGGCTGGCCTCGAACTCACAGCGATCCTCCTGCTTCAGCCTCCCGAGTGCTGGGATTACAGGGGTGTGCCACCACGCCTGGCACAAAACGCCCTTTGAACTTGAGGAATTTGAGTTTGGGAAGCACCTCTGTAGTTCAAAGCAGACTTTCCTGGAGGGAGAAGGCCTGGGGAGCAGCTGGGTGAGAGAGCATATCTGCATAGTTGGCTGGGCGGTCCCTTTGCTGTGAGGGCTCCTTGGAGGGACTGTGTGCTGCCCACACCAAGGCTGGACCAGGATCATGGGATAGCGGTTCCTCAGGTCCCTTTGGAGACCAGGAGCGGGAATCTGGACGGCTCTAAGCAAGCCAGTAGCCAGGGTGTCTGTGGGTCTCATCTAAAGTCACTGAACTGGTTTCTGAAGCTCAGAAAGAATGGAGCTGTTTCTCCACCACCAGCCCTTCCCAGGGGGCTGGGGCGCAGGCGAGCTGCAATGGGGAGCAGGGGAGCAGCATGCCGAGCTGTCTTGGCCCAGTAGGGATGCCAAAGGCAGTGCTGTCTTGGAAACCTTGAAAATCACTGAGGCGTCACTGAATTAGGGTCGGGAGATGAAACACGAAGCCAATCAGTTGTATTTTGGATTCTAGATTTTTTTTAGTGCAGGCCACACACAGCATTTAAGACTTATTTATACTACAAGGATCATTCGCTGTTTGTCCAAAATTCAAATTTAGCTGTGTGCCCTGTGCTTTTATTTGCTAAATCTAACAACCCTGTGCTGACTGGGTGTCTCAACACTATTTTTAAAAAGCACTTTTTAGCCTTCTCTTTCCTGAGAGCCCTCTTGTTGTAGGAGTTGAGTTAAATAGAAATATTATAGGCAGTCAGACAGGCATAGGCCTTCCAAGGAGCCAGTACGGCAGTCAAGATACCTTGCAACTGTGGGAGAGACAGGCACTTCCGGTGTGGGCCAGACCTCAGGACAAAAGATGAAACAAATGCACCCACATACCAGGGATTGACATTCTAACCAGGTATCCATTGCCTTTAAAAAGCCAGGAAGCTGGGGTGGTGGTCCCTGCCTGTAATCCCAGCACTCAGGTGGCTGGGGAGGATGAGGCAGGAGGATCATGGAGTTTGAGGCCAGCTTGGGCTACAAGTGAGTTCAAGACAAGCCTGAACTGCATAATGAAACCCTGTCTCAAAAAAAAAAAAAAAAAAAAAAAAAGGCCAGGAAGAGTCACTAACCCAACCCACTACAGGAAAATCCCCTGTTCTGTATTCATGTCTGCTTGCTACTTGACTCACTTCTCCATTTGTTTTTTTTTTTTTTTTTTTTGTGGTACCGGGGATTGAACTCATGACCTTGCACTTGCCAAGCAGGTGCTTATGCTGCTGAGCTATTTCCCCAGCCCCAAAGGCTCAGTACAATTTTTTTTTTGTACTGAGAATCAAACTCAGGAACATTTTTTTTTTTTTTGTACTGAGAATTGAACTCAGGAACTTGCGCTTGCCAGGCAGGCACTTATGCCACTGAGCTATATTCCCAGCCCTCTCATGTCTCCATTTGACCCCAATTTAATCAGTTTTACCTGAGCAATTACACTTGTAACCTTATTGGTTGACCATAGTTTTGTCCCACATCATGCCCATCTTGTGATTTCCTATGTTTCCCACCTTGGACCCACCTCACCTTGTGGTTTTGCTCTACAAAAATCCCTAAAAAAAGGCAGGGTCCTTGGCAACCCACTTGGGTCCCCTTCTGTCTTGTCTCTCTTTTTCTCCCAGACAGAAG